TTCTCGATTAATTCGCCGCATTCTGAAGTATCGGGCCGCGGGAGCGAAGAAAAAATTCACGGCGCGCGGCTGCTCCGACTGATAAGCAAAATAGAAAACAACGTTCGGTTTCCTATACTATAGAGATACATATATGTGCTGCAGGTGAAAGTCAATTCCACCGTAGGCAATTAAAATCGAATCATCGAGGCCGCGAGGGGAGTTTTACATTATATACGCATTGGCGAGCGCGTTGTGTCACCTCTCGGGCTCGCGCTGCGAACGATATGGTATATTTGCATGCGAGAGGCCTGCCTGGTATATTATGTTATATACTCGAGGTGGAAAAAATCTCGATGTATGAATCGAGTCAAAAAATTGATACCTGCGTCTATATAATAATGGCAAAGAAAGCGAAAATTTTTGTTGCTTATTATATACATGTACGAAAGCTCTGGACTTATATAAAGCGTAATCTTAACCGTGAATTATGATCGATTCGATCTTAATTGTACCGCGGAATTAGCTGCTGCTGTTGCCGATCGCAACATGTGCTTGAGTTATTTTAGCTCGGGGACGCGTGTCAGGATCAAGGAGAGTTAGCAAGAAAAAATCAAGCGAGTACATACTTGTATTGTATGGCTAATCACGACAAGAGCCTATAATATAACGCTTGACCGGCCGCTACATGTGTGCATATGTACACGAAGAAAAGCCACAAGTTGAGGTTCGTTCACCTCGGTGTATGTTTTTTTTCTACTCCATAATACACCATATATTATGTGCGCACGCACACGCGTGTGTGCATGTACGTGTAATATGTATATATAACGCGTAATCGCGCGCTTGTATACAGGAATATTAAGCCACGAGTGCGTCCGTTACGCTCGAATGTAGCATTAATGTAAGATGATGCAGCTTTGATCCTTGCGCGCTACGTTAACCGATGTCACGACGAGCGGATCGCAACCGATTTTTGGAAACACTCGTGTGTAATGGTCTCATAATAGATTAGAGATCATTCATATCGCATCAATAGCATTTTTTAACAACTTGCGCGATGACCATATTAGTGTTTCATGTCCGAAATTATCGAACATTTTTCAGAATTTTTTCAATGTCAAACCTTATCCGGAGACATGCTGCCGAGGTCAAAAGCAACTAGTGATCTATTTATATTTTTCACGACCATGTCAGAAACTTCCTCAATACAGGTGCACCAAAAAATACCTTAATATTTTAAAAATAGAGCTCTCTAGAAATCAGAACAACAAAATGTAAATTTTGTTTTTCTTCAGCGGCGATATAAAACTACGCTTGATAATGCAAATCAGAAGATATTCCGGCCCTATTACAATAGCTTTGCTGGATTTGAATATTCATTGTCAGAAAGATGCGGCAGCGGTGATTATTAAGCTTTGATCTATGATAAAGATAGGAAAAGAAGAGGTTGCAAAGTTCGAAACTTCCCGTCAATCGGAAATAGATTATGCATCAAATTAGTCTCTTTTTCACTTGCACGCGACTATATAAAGGTGTCAGATAATTGGATAGCTTCGAGTGCAATCTCAAACTCACTGGCGACAGTTTGTATTTTTACATTCGAGTGCGGTTGTCTTTGGACGATTTCTTCTTTATTAATAATTGTTTAAACCTCGCTATCAATTTAAAAAATTTTTATGGTGTTAAAAAACGTATAATTTTGATTCGGTGCAAGATTACACAAAGTCTAAAATCAATTTTTTTCTTATTACTACCTCTTATTGTTATCAAAATGAGCTGCGAAGAAAAAATTGTAATAAGTGGGATTGCTGGAAGATTTCCAGAATCCGACAATGTGCTTGAATTGCAACGTAACATCAATGAAAATATCAACTTCATCACAAAAGATGAACGTCGTTGGAAAGATTGTAAGTTAATGTATTTATAATGTTATACTTTTTACGCTGTTATGAAATAATATAAGGTAACTTCAGAATTCAGACAGTTTAAAAAAAAATAGTTCATATAATTGCCATTATGATTAATAACTTGATTCAGATCTTCTATTCAACTCGACCTCATCTAATTTGTTTCTTTTTAAAGATATGCCCATTACAATTGAATATTGAATTATATTATTATGTTCACGTAAAAATATTTTCTGCTTCTTTATACAATTGGTTAATAGACTATCCAGATGTGCCTTTTGGAGTTGGAAAAATTAACAATATCACCAAGTTCGATGCTACATTTTTTGGCATCCTACCAAAACAGGCCAACTCTATGGACCCTAAGAGCAGGATGATGTTAGAACACACTTTTGAAGCTCTAATGGATGCTGGTATCAATCCAAGTGAATTGAAAGGAACGAACACCGGTGTGTTTATGGGCTCGATCTACATAGAAAATGAACTTTTAGACGTACGTATACATTGTTTCATTATTTATTACAATAGTGAACAGAAGTAGTGTATGTACGATTTTAATAAACAAATTACTTTAGTCCAGATACACGTTTAAACAAACGATTTTTTTCAGTTATTGTTAGTGTTAAGCTCAAATGATACTGGTAACTCTATATTGTCTCCAACCTATTTATAATATATAATATATAAAGATTTAAAAATTATAAAATTTCCAAGAAATCAAAATAATTAGTCTCGATATGATCAAAATAAACGGACATAGAAGCATTCGAAAATTCACAAAATTTCGATGACAATTTCTATTGCGATAATTTGATTGCGCAGTGTAGATCACCTCAAAATATAGTATGCTTTTTTTGCTATTGAACATTCATTTTTGTTTTTAATTTTATTTTCAATTTTGTCATTTTGAACAATACTTTTATGTTTACGTAAACATAGTAAGATAGCACAGCACAGGAGGAATTCATTATGTAAAAAACTGGATCGCTGGATCAACTAGATCATTGGATCATTCGTTAGGGTCTTTGGCACAATTGAACATTCTTTTCATACATTTATTAAAAATTATGATGCGCTAGCGATGCGCCATGTCGATGTGAGCTTTAAGACTTCTTTTTTGTCCGAGGGATTTACCACATGTACCACATATATGTGTGATACCATTGTGTGATATTTTGACATGTTTATAGAGACCAGATCGATTTGTGTATTTTGTTTTTCACATAAATCACATGCATATGATGCACCGTATCAATGTGGAACTTGAGATAACTCTTTATTGAATATTTATTACAGCAAATCTCGCATGAATATTTATATATAAAGAAATTTAACATTTTTCGAAAAAAATGTACAGCGCGCTCATGAACCAATACATCATACTTAACAGTTATGTATTTATTGTATAATTAGAAGGAAATGCAAGATTCTTCTTGTATGCTGGCCAATCGCATTTCTTATTGGTTGGACGTCAAGGGGCCAAGCTTTACTCTCGATACTGGCTGCAGTTCAAGTATAACTGCCTTGGAAAGAGCTTTTCGTTCTATCAAGGATGGGACATGCGACACTGCAATTATAGGGGCATGTAATCTTTGTCGACATTGGATTTCCTCAAAACATTATATGGAATTGGGTGAATAATTTTTCAATATAAATATTGATTTTTTTTACAATTCATAAATTTAATTCACAAGTTAAATTTCAGGAGCTCTGTCGAGAGATTGCCGATGCAAAACCTTTGACGAATCAGCCGACGGCTACGTGCGCAGCGAGGCCGTAGTCGCTATGATTTTGCAAAAAGCAAGTGTCGCTCGTCGTTGTTACGCCACGATCGTCAATGCCAAAATAAGCCACGATGGTTATAAAACTGAGGGCCTAGTCCATCCGTCCGTGAAGGGACAGTTCGATCTCATGCGTAAGTGCTACGAAGAAGTCAATGCCGATCCCGGTATGACAGCTTTCGTCGAGGCTCATGGAACTGGGACTCGTGTCGGCGACGACGTGGAGGCAGCTGCTATAGATATATTTTTTGGCACTTCTCGTCAAAAACTTCCATTCAGTAAACCCGTACTCGTTGGTTCGATCAAATCCATCGTTGGACACAGCGAAATTGCAAGTGGTCTTGTCGGTTTGGTGAAAATAATCATGATGATGGAGACAGGATTAATGATCCCCAATTGGAACTTTAAAACTCATTCGAAGGAGCATCGTGGTTTCATAGAGAACCGTATGAAACTCGCCACGGAAACGCAACAATTACCAGACGGTTACGTAAGCATCAGCTCTTTTGGCTTGGGTGGTGCTTGCGCTCATGCGATATTAATTGCTAATCCAAAGAAGAAACTCGATGAATCACATATTGACAATTTACCCCGACTAGTATTTGCTTCTGGGGTAACTGAAGATTCTGTGCAATTTTTCTTAAAACAGGTAAATATTATATAGCGGGTGAAATCATAAGATTTTTAAAAAAACATTGTTTTTGGCAGTTGGAAAGTCAACCGATCGATCACGAGCAAATTCGTTTGCTTCATGAGATTTATTCTCGAAATATTCATAATCATTCTTTTAGAGGTTTTACAATCTTACCAGCAACTGGAATTGGCCATAATTCCAAGATCACGACCCAAAAATACGTGGATTCCAACAAAAAAATATGCTTTGTATTTTCTGGAATGGGATCTCAGTTTCGTGGAATGGGTAATAATAGACCGTAATATGGTTATAAAAGTATTACATAAATAACTTTTCATAGGATCACAACTATTGCGCATACCAACTTTTAGAGAGTCCATGGCAAAAATTCACGAAGTTTTAAAAACAAAAAATGTAGACATTTTCGAAATTCTCACTAAAGACCATTTCGATGACGTTATGAATTCTTTTCTGGGCATTACATCTATTCAGGTAATATATCATTAGATAAGAGTTCAACCTTATTTTATAAAATTATAAAATCAAAATATTCTTAAAAACTGCAGATCGGCTTGGTTGACTTATTTGAGGCAATTGGAATAGAACCTAATTACATAATTGGTCTCTCGATGGGAGAAATAGGATGTGCATACGCCGATGGAGCCCTCAGTCTCGAACAAGCTATTCTGTCTGCTTACGCTCGTGGAAAGGCCTCCTTAGATACGAAATTTCCAACTAAAGGAGCTATGGCTGTAGTACATCTTGAATTCGAAAAATTGGCTGTTTTGTTACCCTCGGATATCGACGTAGCTTGCTATAATTCACCTGAAAATACCACCATATCTGGACCATCTGAATCAGTAATGGTATTTTGTAAAGAATTAAGGTCTCGTGGTGTCACAGTTTCAGAATTAAATTGTGTCAACAACATCGCTTATCACAGCAGATACGTTTATCCAATCGAGGATAAATTATTCGAATTCATGCGCAGTTTTATAACCGAACCACGAGTACGAAGTGAGAAGTGGTGGAGTTCAGCCATTCCGAAAGAAAAATGGGATACAAAACTCGCTCGAACAGCTTCAGCTGAGTATTTTACTCAAAACTGTTTAAGTCCCGTACTATTTAAGCAAACTGCAAGTTTGATTCCAGATAATACTTATGTGATAGAAATTGCACCCAGAGCCTTCATGAGCACCATCTTGAAACAAGCAATGAAGCCGAATGTTACTATTTTAGATTTGCAACGTGGTTCGGATTCGGAAAGTACTTTGGAATCATTTTTAAGTCTTGTAGGTAAACTTTTTAATGAAGGATTTCAGCCTTGCATAGGTAACTTACTTATTTTATCAAAATCTTCCAAAATCGCATTAAAATATAGAGAATCTAAATAATATTTTAAAATTCGTGCAGCCAACATATACCCAAATGTCAATTTCCCTGTGAGTCGTTCAACTAGAATGATTGCTCCACTCATCGAGTGGGATCACTCCGAAACATGGGTAACACCATCCTGCGAAGATGTCGATAAAGCTGAAACGTCCTTTGAAATCCCTTTCGACATGAAAAGTGAATATTACCAGTTTTTGAGAGGTCACACATTGCGAGGAAGTGAATTATTTCCAGCTACTTTTTATATTGGCTTAGTTTGGTACGCCATGGCTAGGAAGTATGGCAAGAACCAGCATGAGTTACCAATTTCATTGAAAAATGTTACATTGAAACGTGCGACAAAAATACCAGATGAGGGAAAAATCACATTTTTTGTTAATTTGACACAAGGTAAGGCAGTTAAGTATTTGATAAGTTTTATATTCAATAGTTATTCTGCCTTAAGGTTCTGGAGCATTTGAAATTGTGGAAAGCAATGCCACTGTAGCAAGTGGCTTTGCAGAAATTCTGTCGGCACCGAATAACGAAGAAAATCCTTTGAATAAGGCCATAGCACAAAACGAATCGTCCATAATTTTAAGCAGTCAAGAATTTTACAAAGAAGTATCGATTCGAGGTTACGAGTACAAAGATCCATTCCGCGGAGTGAAAAGCTACAACCCGAATGATGGCTGGGCCAAAATTCTTTGGGATGGTAATTGGATTGCATTCATGGACTGTGTCATGCAACTGATTATGATGAAAGTGAATAGGGAATTTTTAATACCCACTAGAATAAAAAATTTTACCATTGATCCAAAAGCTCAAGGAAAAGCAGTAAGACGGCTTTCTGATTCTAAAGGTAAAAAAGAGATTTCGTTAAAAGCTAACACCATTTCAATGAAAAATTACTTAAGCTTTCATGAATAAACAACGATAACTTCGAAAACATTCATAAAAATTAGTTATTTTACAAAACGCGTACAAAATATGCATGAAGTGGCGTTTATTGGTATCGCTCTTTTCTTTTGATTATACGTCTCTTCATAAAATCATTGTTTGTATCATAAGTGATCATGAATACTGATCAGACATTTTTTACTCCATCTATTGATGAAATCAAAAAGCTGATCATAATCAAATACAATACCTTTGATTACGATCATTACCCATACTCAATTTGCCTATGGAAGCTTAACTTAAAAAAGTGGACATTTTTAATGAAAAGATCATTATAAAGATTAATGTACAACTTAATAAAAAATTTTAGCTATTGAACTATTACTATTACTATTAAAGAATTCTTATTTTAAAAAATGTGATAATATTTTAGGTCTAATTGAATTACCAGCTTATTTGAGCGAATTTGAGAATAGTGTCTACTGTGGTGGGGTAAGCATTTCGAACATAGAACTTCAGTCGATGTATTTGAAAGATAACTCGACGCCTCCGCTCCTGGAGAAATATTGCTTCTTACCTTATGGTGACGTTGATCGAGCGGATTTCAATGAAGTGGCCAGACTCGCGATTGATTTGACGTTAAAAAATAACCAGCCAAGTAAAATTCATATTATGGAATACATAGATTCCATGGAATTGTTGCCGCATACCGATATTATCATGACCCCACGGATGGAAACTATTTTGAGGGATAACAACGTCAACAGTAAATTATTCTTTTATAACGATCGATCGGATTTGGTGTCTACTTTTAATCTTCCAAGAAATGTTGAAGTCTTGGAACCAAATGCGATCAATCGTCGAAAATTCGATTTGGTCGTTGGTTATCAATTGTTGGAACCAAATCAGCATAAAACTTTGGAAAATTTACTGCTCAATGTTACTGAACGTGGATTCATCTTGACGTATGAAAAAAGGGACAATAATATCGATGTGAAAGCTCCCGCAAAGAAAATGGAAAATCTGAAGGTCATTGCTGAAAAAACATTCAGCATATTTCGACTGGTTCTCTTAAGAAAAATCGATCCAGTTAAAAAACACTTTGATGTTATATATGTCGATAATAATCAATTCAAATGGATCGCTCAACTCAAGACACTATTAAGCTCGTATCCGAACGAACCACAATTCAATGATCGCAGAATTTTATTAGTTGGTCAAAACGATCTGGACAATGGTAAGGATTGAAAAATCAAGAAATCAAAGAAATCAACTCTCCACAAGGAAATGTTCACTCACAGATGATTTTTTTCAGGATTGCAAGGTTTAATTAATTGCCTGATACAAGAATACGGTACTTCGTATATCAGAGGAATTCTGATACAAGACACCAATACTCGTCCATTTTCCCTTGATGATACCATGTACTTGGAACAGATTCGCAATGATTTGGTCGACAACGTTTTGAGGAAGGATGGCGTTTGGGGATTCTACAGTCACAGAATTTTGCCGGATTTGGAGCCGAAACTTTGCCATCATGCCATTATCAAACCTTCAAGCGACAATGATCTCAGCTCGTTCCAATGGACCGAGGGAACTATCAAAGAAGACAAAAAAAATGTCATAAGCGTCTGTTACGCAGCGATCAATTTCAAGTAAAAAAACACTCACAAAATTATCAATCGAGATGTTTAAATCTCTTTTAATTTTACTCGCAGGGACGTAATGACCAGCAGCGGCAGACTTCAGAAAAACGACGTGGGAAAAGATTGCCTGCACAGTGAACTGCCCTTCGGCATGGAAATCAGCGGCATCAATCACGAAGGAAAGCGAGTCATGGGTGTGGTGAACGGCGACGGCTTCTCGAATTTCTGCGAGAACAATGACTGGACTTTCGACGTTCCCCAGGCCTGGTCACTGGCGGAGGCGGCCACCGTACCCTGGGCCTACATCACCGCCTATTGGGCACTGCACCACTTGGGTAAATATCGCACGCTGCAATAGGCCCACCGCGAGACAAATTGTAGCTGGCATATTTACACTCAGGCCGAGTCAAAGCCGCGGACAAGGTGCTGATCCACGCCGGAGCCGGGGCGGTCGGTCAGGCGGCCATCCGTCTGGCGCTGCACGAGGGCTGCGAGGTCTTCACCACCGTGGGCTCGGAGGCGAAGCGACGCTTCGTGCGCCAACTCTTCCCGACGATCGACGAGGACCACATCGGGCCGTCGCGCTCGACCGGCTTCAAGTCGATGATCGTGCAGGCGACCAAGGGACGCGGAGTCGATCTGCTCGTGAACTGCCTGGCCGGCGACAAGTTCGCGGCCTCGCTCGAGTGCATGGCGCCCAACGGCCGCTTCATCGAGATCGGCATGTCCGACATACAGTCGGATTATCAGATTGGTATGAGTAACTTCGCTCGTGGCGTAAGCTTTCAAGCCTTCGACGCGACCAAGATCTTCGTCGACGACGAGATGCATCGGACGATGCGCGGTTACCTGGAAGACGGCATTAAGAATTCCGTAGTGAAACCCATCAGCTACAAGATCTTCGAGAAAAACGAGATGGAGAAAGCCGTGCGCTTGATGGCTCACGGTGGACACATCGGCAAGCTCTTGATCAGAATTAGCGACGAGGAGAGTGGAATGAACGAAAAGATGCTGGCCATGCCGAGATACCATTGCTATCCCGAGCGCAGTTACGTGATCATCGGCGGTCTTGGTGGATTTGGCCTGGAACTAGGTAAGTCTCGGCGTTAAACGTAGATCCAACTCGATGCAATTGAAGACGTCGATTATTTCCAGCTCACTGGCTCGTTTTACGAGGAGCTCGAAATATCGTGCTCGTCTCGAGGAGCGGCATTAAAACGGGCTACCAGCAAACGAGGATCAAATTGTGGAAAGACAACGGGGTCGATGTCCTCGTGATACGCGGCAAAAACTTGAGCAAACAGGAGGATTGCGCGAAGATCTTGAGCACCGCCAATCTAATGGGACCCGTCGACGCCATATTCAACTCTGCCGTTGTCCTGAAGGACGCGTTGTTCGAGCATCAGAGTCCGGAGACGTTCGAGGACGTGCTCCAGTGCAAAGCCCGGGCTACCGAGCACTTCGATCGCCAGAGCAGATCCGCTTGTCCGAAGATGAGGCACTTCGTCGTCTTTTCATCAGTAGCGAATGGCAAGGGTAACGTCGGTCAAACGAATTACGCCATGGCCAATTCGGTGAGCAGTGGTATTTATTTTACGCGGTACAGTGAAATGATTTATAAAAATTATAATCGCTCGATCTAGATCATGGAACGTATATGCGAGAGACGCCAACAAGAAGGTCTACCGGGCTTAGCCATACAATGGGGTCCCATCAGAGATGTCGGTGTGGTAGCCGATATGGACGACGTCGCCCAGTCACAACTCAAAAATCTCGGGTTCGACCTGCAGAAAATTAACTCGTGTCTGGATGCCCTCGAAAAATTTTTACTGCAAAGCAACCCGATAGTCTCGAGCTTGGTATTGCTGGGAAAAACGAACGATGCCGACAAAGAGAAGAAGGTCGACGTATTCGAGGAAATTTGCAACGTCATGAGTGCGTATTCGAGCGAACCGTCGAACGATTGTATAATATATATCGGTGGATAATTATTTGTGTTTCTCCAGATTTCAAGAATTTGGATAAGATCGATCCAGATGCGACTTTCTTGAGCTTGGGTATCGATTCTATCATGGTGACGGAAGTTGGAAATATCTTGGAGCGACGGGTCAATACTTTCTTCACTAGCAAAGATATAAGGGACATGACCTTTAATAAGTTGAGAGAGATCAACAATAATATAATCATACGTTGATTATTGCTTTTTTTCAATTGTTTAGGGGAGTATTGCACCATTTTTTGATTTTTGTATTTCCTGAAAAATTATCAGGAATTTTATAAATGAACGCTTTTGTTTAAAAGCTCAAAGGGGGCTTAAATAATTATATATACTTTTATTTATAGTATTAAGCTGAAAAAGTGAAAAAAAATTTTTTCAGAAAACAGGCATAAGAGCCTTTTTCAATACCTCATTTGCAAGTACTTTGTCCAGTTAAATACTTACAAACACTTAAATTAACTGGTATAAGTCAATAAACCTTCAGCGATAAGCATTTGGGATATCTAAGCTGTTTGCCGTACGATTCCAAGTGTTTGCATGACACGATTGAGTTGTATGTGGTTTCAATTTCTTTGATGGATCATTATTCATCAACGCAATCTCAAGCTAAGCATAAGATCAAATTTGACTACTTTCACATACAATTTAATAGAATATTTTATTCATTAATGATTACTTTGATAAATTTTTTTTCTTTGCACTCTATAAGCAGCCCTCAATGTATTTTATGCTTAGGTTTAAGTCTATTTTCTTTATTTGCTCTATATGCATGCTAATTTTGTTATTTTTAAGCCTTTAATTTGCTCTAATTATTAATTAAATTTTTTTGCCATTATTGCTAGTTGACATTCGGTCTTTTGACCTTGGAAAAAATAAATTTGTCCAAATCAAATCTGTAATGTAGTAGCTTATATCTGTGACGCGTACGACAAATAAAAATGTACTAAATATATACTCGTGGTAACAATAATTGCATGAAGCTTGTCAAGTTCTTGAAATGATCAAATTAAACTTTTATCGTCATATATAATATATTCCGTATGTCAGTTAGACTTGTGTTTCTTCAAAATCTGCTAATATCTTTTGAAACCTCACGATCGTTTTAGCAATAGCTTTCATTTCTCGTTTAAAATAAAAGCTCTAGTTGGGCAACAGCCGGACGAGTCCGAGAACTGTAACTGCCAAATGAAAAAAAAGAGCTGAAGAAGCATCGCGTGTGCGTAACAGATTGAAGGATTCACCGCATGGGCATATCTTACCTTTAATACCGAGAGAGTGTAGGAAGGTAAAATTAGCAAGCGCACGAAGCGCATACGTATTGCCTATATGGAGTTTACCGCATGAAATTTATGTGATAGTTCGTAGAATGAAATTTTATAATAAATGTTTGAAATTGAAAAATACAGTGATGGTTAATTCCTTCAAAAAAGTTATGGGTATAAAACTTTGGTTTCCAAAATCAGTCAATTTTCTGTAGGTAATACTTTTATTACAGCTTTCACTTATAAAGAATAGACACACGCTAAAATGCTTTGTATTAAACACATATACTCTATCAATTTAAAAATCCTCAAACTTATTAATTTTATAGAAACCAGTCCAATTTGAAATATGGCATTCGTCGCGTTTAATGCGATCCAGCCCATGTACATAATGTGTAGGAAGTTGGCTTTGGCACGCGGTAGCTTATATACGCGCGTCTAGCGCAGTACAGCACGTAAAGTAGCGGATCTTTGCGCTCGCAAACATAGACACGCTCCTCCTTATATATATACAGTATAAACGTCGTGTACACCAGAGCGCATAGAAAAATATCTGCGCATTTCGCGAAAGCTCTTGAGATAAGGGCATTCCGATTACGCGGAGAACCTCATTGGGCTGCAGAGTGAGCCCTTTGTTTTTCTGACTGTGTAAGCGTGTGTATGCTTAATGTTTTTCTCTTTTTGTTTAATTGCCGCGGCCTGTACACACCATAGCGCTTAAATGCAGTAGACTCGGAACAGTTATGGTTGCAAAGATATTTTGACGTAACTAGAGGAGCGTGGGTTTCATCGGAAAAGTGGCAGGTACGCGCGAATTTTCGCGAAGTATGAATTTTGCGGAAATGAGATTCTCGTAAGATAATCGTCTTGATATATGCTGGAATTATATGATATGAGGCTCGAAAACCGAGATCTACTAGCGCTTCTGGCACCGCATAAATCTTTAGCGAAAAAGAAAAACAAATTTCTGCATACACGCGACGATATGAGGCATCTCTTCTGATTACTCTACCAGAAGTGCTCACTATCAATAATAGCATAATGCCCAAAAACTGACCATTTAAAATGTTTTGCAATATAATACCAATTATTGGCTTGTTTTCGGCGATTTATAAATGTTTCGATTATGTTGAAAATATCTAACGCATTTACCGCTAGATGGCGAGTGCTTTTATCTGTGAATCTGCAAGTGGCAACGTGAATACGTTTGTATAAATCAAAGCACGGTTCTAAAAATATATATCTTCTGTGCTTGAAGGCAGTACCCAAATAAAAACTGACGAGGGGTACTGAGAGCTGCGCTCGTTTTATTGTTCATGTGATGAGAGGCTTGATGGTGGAGTATGGAGCACGTCGATCATGCCATGGCCTGGGAGTTACAGAGACGACAAATCTTGGAATGATTAATGAACGAAACGGATAGATCGGTACCATAATTGTAAACAATATGGCAATCAACACTGATCGTGCTGATAGTCGGAACAAATTAGTTTGAATGTTGTCTTTCCCGATTAAACAACTAATAATACCAAAAGATAAACTTTACTCATTCAATTTCTGTAGTACTAAATAAAAGAGTCCATCGTTTATTTTGAGCTCCAAAATGGATAAAAGTGAAAGGAAATCCGACTTGAAAAACGACGAAGTCGTTTCGAGAGATAATTTTAATGAACAAGATATTGTTGTTTCAGACGACAAAAAATACGTTTGTGATATTTATCAGAATGCATTTATGCTAGAATCGAGTATGATATCCCATCGAAACACGATTTACAGTGAACTAAAAGATTTCGCTTGCGACAAGTGCGAACAGAAATTTGAGTTCCGAAGCCATTTGAGCAGGCACCAAATATCAATGCACAAAGGCCGCAATGATTTTGCATGCGACCAGTGCGAAAAAAAATTTGAGAAAAAATCGAGTTTGCTCGTGCATCAAAAATCAGTACACAAAGATCAAAAAGATTTCACATGCAAAAAGTGCGAGAGGAAATTTGAAAGTAAATCAACTTTACTCAAGCACAAAAAAATATTCCACGAAGTTTTCAAAGATTATTTATGTGAAAAGTGTACGAAGAGATTTGGAAATAAACAGAGTTTGCTCATGCACATAAAGACAGTACACGATGGTCGGAAAAATTTGTCCTTCAAAGTTCTCAGAGATTACTCATGTAACAATTGCGAAAAGAAATTTGGACAAAAATCAGATTTGCTTATTCACCAAAGGACAGTCCACATATAATAATTTGCTCATAAGAGCAAAATTATTCGATATTAATTTCCCGAGTTTTCAAAAATAAACTACGTAAGGGAATAAAAATTCAAGTTTAATCAAATGACTTAACTACGAGCAGAAAATAAAACTTTGCGCAGTGTTGGTTCTTTTTCAAATTCGTTACTGGCGGGACATGTCATGCCATAGCGTTGGACACGACAAAGGGCTCTGCGGAGCTGGTCTCTCCGTGAAGCTTTAATTTAAAGCAACAACTTAAACTTAAACGTAACTTTGAACATCTCTATGTAAACATGAGACTTTATCTTTGAGTTATTTTTCAAAATTGTCCCAAAATTTTGGAAGGATTCCCATGATCTTGCTCGTATTAGTGCCGCTTATTGAATTATACTTATAATGATTCATAGAAGACATCTTTAAATCTTACTAAAATATACTTAAGGAGGTTCCCTCGGGTAACACGCTAGTCAATTGAGAGTTCGCGCAGTAACATGGGTTAAGTTAGCTGGCTTGTCGTCTGCTAGCCCTAGAACGAGCCGAAAAAGTCGTGTTTTCGCGTCTTTTATTAAAAAAATATTGAAAAAACGGCAGGCTACCTCTACTTTGAGACACGGTTTTTGAAAGATAAGAACTTTCTCTACAATTTGTATATAATCATTCCTCTGCGAACTTTGATTTCTTTTCATAAATTGTAAATGTATCTCAAATTTTCATGAATTCCTATGTTGCCCATGTTAATTTTCGAAACTTTGATCGCATTTTTCTCGAGATTTTGCCTGGCTTGGGCATATGAGAGTTATACCATTGGATTCGGGAGGTCAAAATCTATCGATATTGATATATGTACTTCTTGCGAACTTTGCAAGGGAACCTTCTTAAAATTTAATTATTTTGAAAGTTCACACATAACTCAAAAAATACATTTGTCCATATCGATAATGTATTCAAGTTTTAAACGTAAATATTAAATGATCAACTTTAAAATTTTCTACGTATCCACAATAAACTAATCAATTTACGCCAACAACCAATTAAAATTCAGGAAAGATGTATACTCACTACAGTGCGTAAAAAAGTATACTATTCTTTTTGTTAACAAAACGAAATAGTAATACTTACAAATCACGTTAATATGATAAATAAATAATATTCATATTGATATTTATCCTTCATAATCAAATAAAGTTATTCCTGTAACAATTGTAATTAATAACAAACATTTTTCTATCAACAGTTTATAATTACAGCAAAATTATGAATTAAAAATTATTGGCGATTAAAATCAAAAATTAAAATTAAAAATTAATGTAACGAAACGTCGATGCGCAAAGAACTTCCTTGAACTCGCGACAACGACTCGAACCGACCAAATAAAGTCTTTGGTGAGTAAACGACTACACACGAAATTAACACACGGCTTTTTTATACCTTCTCTTATTTTTTATATGTATGTATGAATGTGTTTGCTTTAAAAATATAATCACTTGAGGTTGCTGCAGCGCGATGATTTCTTTTGGGTAAAGATTGTTTATCGAATTTCTATTATTATACAAAAAGTTGATAGAGACGTTTCTAAATTCGTTAACTAAATTAAGATTAAATAATTTAATGAGTAAGGAGAGACTGTAAAACAATAGTTGTGAAAAAACTTTGAAACGACGTACGTCCAAAATTATTTATTTGTCAGAATTCAGTTTTCACCCACGCATTTTAAAGGTAAACAACAAACTTTTTGCAATATTTAAGGTCAAAAATTCAACACAAGGCGAATTTCCTCATGAAATTAATTATTTCGAGGATTTTTCCGGGGTTTCTCAGCGAAAGCCTTCCAATCGTTCTCAAGCTCGTTTTGAAGGGGTTGCAAATCTCTGCAACTTTCCCATCGAACACAGTAGAATCTAACTGGTGCAGGTAATTATAGTTGTTTAAACAAACTCAGAAGTAGCTGCAGCGTTTCCACTTCACCACCCTAAAGAATTCCATATAAAATGTACCCGAACACTTAATGAAATTCGAAATGTAGCTCAAATGCTGAGTCATGTTTGTCTGTGTGTACGTTTCATACATAGCATCTCTTTACGATAGCTTGCCTACGTGTTATTTACTTTCTCTCTGATTCTAATGCACTCTGAGCGTTAGGGCGGAGCCTAAAGTGGCGCTGCAGTCACCATTTACATGTAATCTTATGGAAAAAACAGAACTTCCTGTCAAAAACACATGCTCGGCCGGGCCAATAGATCATATAGCGCATGCATAGTCAGTACACGTTTAGAAGTTGCAGCTTAAATAGACGTAGATCGCATTGACGACAGTTAGTGATTTTTGAGAAGTAAATCTCAATTTATAATAAATATATATTCATATACATAAACAAAAAGTGATTGTGTGCTGTGTATAAGTGACCAGAATGATGTCTACATCCAATAACGTACCTAATAAAAGAGGTGAAAGTTTCGTCAGTGAAAGCGACGACTGTAGGTTAAAACACGTGGATGATTTTAACCAAAAACAATTACAAAATTTGAAAAAAGTACGAGTAAAGACCGGTTGGACCAATTGGTTCAAAAAAGGACGACATCGTCATCTCGATCAACTTTATCCCTTAATCAGCGATTGGAGGGGACCACTTCCGGATCTGCGGGACATTTTTCCCAAGAAAAAAATTGAATTTCTTCTCAAGGAATCTATAAATTGTATGTACGAAAACCCGCATGATAATCGAGGGAAACGATTTATTGAGTTCGTGGCTCGCAGCGGCTACAAAGATATGGGATCCGACATTAATATAGTCGGCAAGCTATCGCAGCGTCGCAGCACACCTCTACATCACGTGGCCGAATTATTGGACGATCGAGGACGTGACGTGGCTCGTGAGCTTTTTACAATTTACGATAGATTTTTTGTAAATTACATCGACAAGTCAGGCTTCACTCACTTCCATGTGGCCTGCAGGTATGGCTTTGACGACCTCGTCGAAAAATTCCTCGAACACGGACAAGACCCCAATTGTCTCGATAACGTCAAAGGTAATTCGTCGCTGATTTTGGCTCTGAAGTACGGCCATGTACGCGTGGCTGAAACGCTGCTGAGAAAATGCGCGGATCCACATTTGGCCAACTTTAATAAATCTACTCCTCTGCATGTCGCTTGTCAGGTACTCAACGACAACGATGACTTCATAAAAAAATTCTTCTTGATCAACGACGTTAACCGTCGAACGGTGCGCATTGACGCTCAGAACAAGTGGGGTCTGACACCACTGCACATAGCTGTGTCTCGTAACTCGGTCAAATTGGTCGAATTTCTGCTGAGAAGAGGGGCCAGTCCGAATATATCTAACGTAGACGGATTGACACCTTTGCATATTATTTGCCAGACAAAATGCAGCGATGATTTGGCGAAGATGTTCTTCGAAATCATCGACGAAATTCATCAATCGGTACAGGTTGATGCTCGGGACCGAACGGACTCTACACCATTATGTCATGCTGTGTCATTTGGGCACAAGACGATGGTCGAATTTCTGCTGAGAAGAGGGGCCAATCCGAATATATCTGACGTAGACGGATTGACACCTCTGCATATCATTTGCCAGACAAAATGCAGCGATGATTTGGCGAAGATGTTCTTCGAAATCATCGACGAAATTCATCAATCGGTACAGGTTGATGCTCGGGACCGAACGGACTCTACACCATTATGTCATGCTGTGTCATTTGGACACAAGACGATGGTCGAACTGCTGCTGAGAAGAGGGGCGGATCCACATTGGACCGATGATTTCGGATTGACACCTGTGAGTTTTTGCCTCGAAGAGGGAACTGAAGACTTGGTGAAACTCTTCTTCCAGGTCAATGACGAACTGAACCGTCACTTGCAGATCAACGACGCTTGGAACGGATTGCTCATGAGCTCACCACTGCAATCGGCTGTGCAGAATCTGAGGCCAATTGTGTTCGATGTACTCTTGAATCATGGTGCAGATCTATCTAGATTTGTTTTTCCCTCTGCATCAGACCTTGTCCTTTGTCTGAATGGTTTATTGAGGAGGAGGGAAGAGCGGCCTTACAGTATTAATTTTAAATTGGAACTAGCATCTGGTCTGTTGTCCTTCGTCGATAGTCTTGAGAAGAGAGAGTACGAATTGAAAAGAAAAGACGCCTTGACGATAATGAGATTGTTTTCCTATTACGGATTATTCAAGAAGTCGGCTGATGTTGAGAAATGTTGGTTCGACGATGAGGAATTCAAAAGTAGAGCAAAAGAATTGATGATAAAGCCGAGCCTATCACTCTACGATCTGATCCGGTTAAAACCCGAAGAGGCAGCGAAACAACTCACAAATATGGATTACTTGGAGTTTGCGCGCTCAAAAAAATTGCTCGAACTCCCCGAAAAGTACCAGGAGGCTTGTGCTGTCCATCTGTGCGAGAAGCTATCGAGAAGATTTTTCCATTGCTGGGCCCTAAAATCTTATATGAAGTTGACGCGCAACCGATTGTCGATCCCTTTCTGCGAAATGATCATCGATATGCCAACTAACCAAAATCTATATAATATTTGCTTGGCGGCTCTAAAGCACAGCTCATGGTGTACGTACATGGTCATGAAGCATTTTGATTTAGCTGAAATCTAGTACAATTAAATGTTGCAAACTTTTTATGTTATTACAATAAATAAAATTTGAAAAATGACTTTCAATTTTCTTTTTAATAAATACACTATTCAACGATAATTTAAACAGAGTTTACCTTCTCTCATTTTTCATACGTGCATGTGTATGCACGTATTTTAAAAATATATAATCACCCGACGATGTTGTAGCGCGATGTTTGCTTTTGGATAAAGACTGTTTATCGAATTTTTATCGCTGCGGTTGAAACTTGAAAATGTGATTTCATATCACACAAAAAGTTGAGCGCGTAGTCAATCGGAGTCATATATAGTCAATGAGTTATTCCTTTGTTTCTCATAATACAAAAATCTGGGTCGAAATTATTTTTGCAGAATACCTTTTTTTTATCATCGCGTTCATCATCGCGAACTCGAGTGCGTGATCAAAGGACGGAAACATACTCGTCCCCGCTCAACGCGAAAGCCGTGCGACAGACCTTTGAATTTTTTATAAGAAACAATTACTCGATCCGACTGCTTCATGGGCGATGAAAAATGAAAAAAAAATCACATCGCTAGGATCTACTCGTTGCACTTGACATTCGTTTTCAGTACAGTGCAGGTGTGTACGTATTATATTTAGCCGACAAAAATTGAATCGATCGTAAACAAAAATAAATAAGCAAATATACGTACAATAAAAATGCCGGAAGCAGCAAGATCGAAAGGCCCACCGACGCAGACGACGGCCGGCAGTCCGCGAGAGAGAAAGAAAAAAAATCTCGCGAACATCATCAAAACGCAAGCGATCGAGTTCTGTTTATCGACGAGCCTGCACGGCTACAAGTACATCGTGCAGAAGAAACGCTCGAAAGTCGAAAGGTAATGCGTAATATTACTCGGATATATTCGCGAGTGTAGGTCAATGAAAATTCCGAAAAACTTTTTTTCACGAAGATGCGTTTGGGCCGCCATCGTCGTTTCGTCGCTGATTTTTTCACTCGTACTTATGCACATTGCCTGGACCTACAACGCGGCTCACTCGACGCTGACCGTCATCGAGACGACTCATCACGGCATCTGGAATTATCCGTTTCCCGCCGTGACGATCTGCAACAACAATCAGATCTCTCGCGAAAAGGCCAACAACTTTGTCCAAAAATTGTAATTTCTGTCATTTAATCCCGTGAATATTATACCAAATCGTCGCTTTTTACCATTAAAAATAGGAAAAAGCTCGGTAAGGTGCCGCGCCATTCGGTGCTGCGTAATCTGCGTCTGCTCGTGGAGCTGCTCGATCCCGGCGTGTCGGGTCGCAACGTCCAGGCGAATCTGTCGACTCTGCAAAACGTCTTGGACGCGAACAATTACACCGTCGTGCAAGTGGCGAGGGAGGCAAGTACACTATTGTACTGAGCTTATACCGAGCTCGAAATTTTAATTTATATCCAACTTCAGCTGAAGCAAGACTGCTCGGAGCTTCTCAAGAGCTGCAAGTGGAAAGGCAACGTCACGCCGTGTCGAGAACTGTTCGAGGAGACTACGTCGCGCGACGGCCACTGCTGCAGCTTCAATTACTTCGGGCCCAACGCGCAGCCAAAAATGTGCGGATAATTAGGAATAAATAATGATCCGATAAATAATCAGCCGTCGACGTACCTGATTTCGCAGCGGCGGCCTGAGGGAGCCCAGACGCCTGACCGCCTGCGGCTACCAGACGGGCCTGGAGGTGCTCGTGGACGCCCGGCCCCGCGACTACTGGGCCAGTCTGCAGGCCTCGTTCGGCGTCAAGGTGATGCTGCACGAGCCCCACGACTACCCGGTGCGCAGCTCGGCCTTCAAGCTGGTCGGCCTCGGCGTCCAGGAGTTGCTCGACGTGTCGCCCGAGTCGACCTACTCGACGGCCCAAGTCAGGTCGCTGCCGGTTCGGGTGCGCGACTGCATCTTCAGCGACGAGCCGGTGGGATCGGCGGCGCTGCGCCAGCTCGAGCTCGAGCACTCCTGGAACAGCTACTCGTACGTCAACTGCCTGAACTCGTGCCGGGCCAAGATCGTGCTCGACAATTGCGGCTGTGTGCCGCATTACTTGCCCAAGAACGGTCAGATATACAGTTCGTCCTTTGGAGAGAAGAAGAGAAAAGCAATCTAGTGGATTTTATCTTTCAGCCTCCCGCGACTGCGACCTGAGGGACATCCAGTGTTTGACGAAAATTCGATGTAACTAATTCGCTTAATTTACTCGGCCATTTGAACGAATAGTTTACCCGTACGTTTCAGCCCTTTACGACTCGTCGTGGCCGGGCAAGATCGTCGATCCGGAGCAGTTGGACTTGGACATCGAGGAGAGGCCCTGCGGCTGTATGCTCGACTGCTCGAATTACCGATATCCCGTCGACAGTACCGAGGGCATTTTGGACCAGGGTCGAGTGTTGTTATCGACGCGGTAAGCCGCTGGCCCTGAAAATTCACCATTTTCATGCATTTAACCATCGATTCTTCGTTGTTGTGGTTTTTTATCAAGGAAAAACGTGGACGAGCGCAGCAAGCTGAGCCTCATCAACGTGTTTTTCACCGACCTGGTCTCGATACAGTACCGGCGCTACGTTTACTATGACTGGAAGGCCTTGTTCGGTATGATTTCGCGCAATTCTTCTCAGCCGCTCGATTTCTGGCCTCGCTTTTTGTTTCAGCGTCTTTCGGGGGTTTGCTCGGCCTCTTCGTGGGCTTCAGCCTGATCACCAGCTTCGAGCTCGTCTACTTTTTCGTCATTCGCGTGCTGGCGGACAAGTGCAAAAAGTCGCGAGCCCAGAAGAGGAGATCCAGCGAGACGATCGATAAAATGGAAAAGACGCGCCGTCGAAATAGTTCCAGTCGAGCGACTATAGGTGGCTTTTAGAGACGGTAGTGGCAGTACGCGCAAGTGGCAGGATTTTCATCTTTTTTCGTATATAAGACTGAAGCGAGTGTAGAAGTGCATCAGTTCTCTCGAGTTCCACCACGGAGCCACACACGGAGTCCCCGTGACTCAAACCCATGCTCTGAGCGAAGGTCCTTGGATCTCTGGCAGCAAGTGCCGCGGCTCTAACGGCCGTTAGCCTCCGCTATCTTTGCCCCTCGCGTCGGAGAGGACGTCCACGGCAGTGCAATAAAATATTGCCAGACCTGTTACGGACTGATCCGCGGGCAATGAGCGGAGCGTATTGATCAAAGTAAAGCAATGTGATGAACGCGTGATTGGCATGCGAACATAACAGGGCCTACTCCGAGAAAACTGTCCCCCCTTCTTTTGTTTCTTTTTTCTTTCGCGCCTCAAATAATCTTTACCTGATTTTACAGCTGGCTTATGATTTGATGAATAATTGATTGTGATATGTCTCTCAAAAATGTTTTTTTTTTTATATGTACTGACAATACAATGTTTTTTTGACTACTTTTAGATCTGGTCTTGTAATGAATAATATGTCATCACTTTGGCAATTTTTGTAAATGGTTTAAGGGGAGTCATACACTAATTCACTCCTCTTTTTCATTTTTTGTGATATAACCCACAGTTTAATGTTAATCTACATTTTCAACATAAAATTAACATCTTTGAACCCTAAAAAATGTGAAAAAAGTAGCAGAATAGACCTTTGCATATAAAAATAGCCTATTTTCCCGTTTCAACTCGCTTGACGATGAGCCGTACTGATCGACGTATCTCTTTTGATCGAGTGCTATAGCTCTCGAATTGCTCCGATCTGCGTTAGACGGAGTTGGTCCTTTTGGGGTACGTAACTTGGACTCGGACTCGTTGGATAATAATTAAAATATTTTATACATAATTTATATATAATAGGAAAATGATATTATCTGACAATACAGTTCCATATACCACTAGAATTAATTTTTTTATTTGAATGATAAATCTTTCTTTAATTCAAACTGACTAATTTTAATAATATTTACAAATTACTGAATTATAAATTTTACAAAAACTGACAGGTTTGGAGTCAGTATTGGCCCAATACAGGCCCACGATCAGATTCCTACGTGGGATATATAACGAAACGAAGCATAATACAATTTGAAAGAAATCGTAATTAAGTTTTTATTTTAATTAATCATAATTCGTTTTTTATAACTAGTATCTAATTAAGAAAGATATGAGTTTAAAAAAATGATTCTGTGGTGCACGAAACGCAGTTAAACTAGAGTCTGTATGAAAAAAAAAAAAAACAAACGCAGAGCGAAGACGAGGAGTCAAATGACAGTATGATATCTTCATTTTCGAGCGATGGTATACTTTCTCGCTTTTTCTTCCCGACTCGAAAGGAGCAGGGAAGAGGGGGGCACCGATAATTAACCAGAGAAGAGAAAAAATCTTTATTTCCGCTCTGTGCCAGCGACAAAGATGAATGACAATAATAGTCAAGCCATTAGCTGTATACAAGTGAGAGAGACCGCGAGAGAGGCGATATGTACAAACGGAGAAAGAAGGAAATACCGTCATCGAGCTGCAAAATTACTGTGGCACTCTTGAGTAGTATACGTTTGTATATAGGTATAGCTTACCGGTATATATACGTCAACTTTTACTTCTCGATCGTCATTAGCGAATGGAGCTCTCGTCGCGTTCGACGACTCGCCTATATATGCACGGATCAAATATATATACACGCTTACGAGTCTGCGTCGTGTGTGTGGCATTAGCATATTTTGCGCACCTCGACTCCACCCGAACGAAGTATGCACGTATACGTACGTACATGCGCATGTACATCGCTTGGCTAATTAGTCCCTTTCGAAGATTACAGCCATTGCCGCCGCCGCCTTAGTCGATCTAACAATAATTTATCGTTAGCCACGTACATACATACCTCATGGCATTATCGTATACGCGCGCGTGATGTATATATAAATCAGCACACACTGTATGCACACAATGTAATGAAAGACCTCGTGGTGCAGCAGCTTCGATAAAAATTATTCTAATCGACTTGAATATTATGCTCTCGGGGCGCGAGCACATGATGCACACGCGCACGCAGTGTACAGTACACGAGTATTACGTGATTCGAAGCGTGTGCATCTGTATATTATAAGGTATTATACACTTCACGCGTAGCTGCGCTCGACGCGTTTCGTATGTTACTCGATGATTATTACTGCCGAGCTCTGACGCCGTGGCATATCGCGCCGCGAGTCTAATTATTATATACTTACACCCATATAGCCGCGACTCGTTATCGATGCTATATACTGCGGATCCGTGCATTCAGATACGCGACTAGTGAAGAAGTAGATATGGATGGATCGATGGATGGATGGGCCGCCGACGCCGCAAAGGTGCCATAAGAAGAAAAGAGAGCAGAGTAGAAAAAAGTGTATTCCTTGCTTGTTATCTGACTTTGACCATTGTAGAGTTTGATTTCCCTTTCACGCGCGGATACTTCGATTCACTTTTGAAAAACAAATCTTGGTATTTTTCTCTATCTCGGACTAATGAGTGGCTTATCGCACTCATAGAGGAGCACGTTTTGTACAAATTAATTGCTCGTAATGAGTCTTGACTCGGGCAACTAACAGTCGCAGTCAGTACACCAACAAAATCGTAGGTCGTTTAAAAGTCAGTGTGTGCAGTAGAAGATCTAAGCAAATCGAGAAACAATCAAACCTTTTTCAAATCTTCCTCGAGTGCAAAATGTCAGGCGAAAATAAAGTGACGGGCTGTACGTACGTTGATAAAGCGCACTGCGATTTTACATGGATAATACGGGATTACGGATTGGTTTATAATAATCAACCTGATCCAGTAGCATCGCCCATTTTCAGAGTCGGCCAAGACGATCGGAGGCAGTTTCGATTAGAATTGCATGATATCACATCAGAGATGAACAATAAACATTATACAGTGTTATTTCTAGTTTGCAAAAAGGCCGTTGATGTTTTATCGCTCAAATACAAGGTAACAGTTATTAAGGATGATACGATTGTTTACAATCGCCAATGTTCCGATAGATTTGCGAGTAATCGTTGGCAACTTTTCATATCTCCCCGTGAATATATGCACAAATTTATTTCATCTACCGATACTGCCACTTTTCGCTGCGAATTGACGCTTTCAACGGACGTTCGAAAGGATTTTTCAAGCGATGAATCCGTCGATACGAATCAAGTGCAAAAATTAGAATTCGATTGGGCATTTCTTGATAAGAAATTAAGTGATGTGAAACTACGAACTGCATCTGGCAAAGAAATCCCAGCACACAGACTAATACTCTCTGCTGCAAGTCCAGTATTCAAGGCCATGTTCAGCCATGATACGTTGGAAAATAAAAACCAATCCGTTGACATAATTGATATCAGTTATGAAATTACACTGGAGATGTTACGATACGTCTACACTGGTATAATCGAAAATGACAAAATTTCCTTCATTATTGAACTTTTGATGGCTGCTGACAAATATGCAATTGATGATTTAAAGAATAAGTGCGAGATGACATTAAGCTCAAATTTATCATCTGAAAATGTTGTAGATATTTTAAAAGTTGCCGATAAATGCAGCATGAAAAAGTTGAAAAAAACGGCAGTTAATTTCGTAAAAATGCATATCAACCAGTTTTCAGACACTGACGACGTGGCTGGCATGATTCTCAGTATGGAACAACTTTTTTCGAATTAACCTGTTAGATGCTTTGCATAAATTTTCAAATTTTAATTTTACTTCAATTATTTGTTATGCTATAAACTTACTTTTGAAAACACGACTTATGATCGAAATAAAATTTCGTGGCTATTTATTTTACCCATTCATTTCAACCTTCCATTCAATATTCAATAACACGTCAAAATTTATAATTATTATATACTCAGCCAACTCGTCATCGATGTTATACGTTGACCTGTTTGCATGAACATAACTACATAAACAATACAGCACACGGCCGCGGACCGCGGCTCACTAATACTGCTCGGTCCAGATGACTAACACGTTATTTGAGTTTTTATCTCCGTCTCTCTGTTGCTGAGTAACTTCGTTCATATCATATTTCAAAATCAGACCTCCTTATCAATAAATGCTTATTAAAATGCTGATAGAGACGATGGTCATACTTTGTTTTTCGAAATAAAGCCCGCTAAATAAATGATTTCATTGAATCGTCAAGGTAGTTCTCGAGTTATCCATTAAGCGACGTTGTCGACGCTACTTGAGGTTCGCGCCCGCGGCCCGACGCAAATCGCTAAGAGAGGTGACGCCGACTATCGCAGCGCTGACCGCAGTGAGCACTGAGCAGTCAGTTGTTCAGAACAAAGGGAACAAAGTCTCCGTTTGATCAGTTTTAAAAACGTTATACTCTCAAGCCTTTCGAGTCTTGACTTGTGCAGTAGTGCTACGATCAGTAGAGATCAGTGAGCGGTCGGGCCAGTCTCTGCCACATATATTATTCCTACTGTTTAACTTTTTGTGCAAGTGTGATAAAAGTCCCAAAATATTTGAGTAATATATTTAAATCTTTCTAATAAGATATTTCTCAAAGTTCAACATGTCAGTTATCGGCACCTTAAAAAGAAGTGAAAAGGGCAACATTTTTACGTGGGTATTATCGAGGGACGTATCATCGTTGTTGAATATCGATATAGTAAGATCAAACGAGCTCTGTGTGAATGTTGACCAAAAATTCAATTTGGAATTCCACAAAGGTAAAATTTGGATTTCAGGTAGTAATACCTATAATGTTTGGCGTTTAATTCTTCGCAGTTCAGCTCAAAACCCACCACTAATATGCAAGTATAAAATATCAATAATCGAACATGACAAGATTATTGATAATCGGACAGAATATTGTACTTTTTCAACGAATCGAAGTGAAACACTGATTCTACGTAAGACCCAAACGGAGATTCAGAGAATGATTAATTCCAAGAATGATATACATGTAGTCTGCGAATTATCAGTTTCTCTAGAAGGGCAAAAGAATTTACTAAATTACGATTCTGACAAAACAAATGAGGTACTAAAACTAAACTTCAACTGGGTATTTCTTGATGAAGGTTTGAGTGATGTTAAGCTAAGAACTGCTTGTGGAAAGGAAATTCCAGCACATAGACTCATGCTCGCTACTGCCAGTCCAGTATTCAAAGCTATGTTTACTCATGATATGATGGAAAATCAAAACAAATTGGTGGAAATGACAGACGTTAGTCATGAAGCAACAGTTGAAATGCTACGTTATATTTACACAGGTAGTGTTGGAAACAACGAGACTTCCTTGACAATTAACCTTTTGGCAGCCGCTGAAAAGTATCAACTTGAAGATTTGAAAAATAAGTGCGGACAAATATTGAGTTCTAATTTATCTAATGAAAATGCTCTAGAAATGCTTAAAATTTCTGATACATATAATGCGGACTATCTGAAAAAAGAAACAGTTGATTTTATCAAAGGTCATATAAACGAACTATCGGACTTTCATGAAATAAGCAATATGATTCTTGGTAAAGCGCCATTAGTTGTAGAACAATGTGAAAATTAACCGATATAACCTCTTTCATGTTTTAGTTTTATTCATTTTTTGTTGTTCATAACTTGGACGTAAAAACGACTATTGTACTTTTAAGTATAATAAAAATTTCAAATAAAATTGTGGAAATTCACTGTACCCATTTATCACTATTTAGATTCCTTCCTTCCTTAAAAAAACCATGTGAAGTCGTTTTATTCGTCACCTCATTGGTTGAGAAGTAACTGCGCCTCGCTTCATGATTGGTCGGAATCTCGCGTCGGTCGTTCATATAATAATTTTAGTGAGAAAACTTAAATGTGGCGTTTGCTAAAATGTTTACATTTGTAAGTCATCAGTTATTTGAATTTCATATTTGTCATTTTCACTTGATTCGTTGGCGCGCGCGAGCTAAGCGCGCCTCACAACACTAGTACGTAGAAATTATGCATACAAAGTATAATATGCTAATTTGACGTGATGAGCTTATGTACACTGTCCGTGGACTAATTTTGTCCATTTGACACGAATTCGGTCGGTATGGGACTTGTATTAGCATACGACGTTCCGTAATTCAGTGGACAAAATTAGTCCACGGACAGTGAACATTGACTCTGATAATAGAACGAGAAAAATTCGACGCTTAGTAGCTCAATCTGTTTTTTTGCGACATGTAATACACAGTGTTAAAAATATAAATATTAATTGAGACACTGCGCGTTACGGCATCGATTCATTCTTTCAAAATTTCATCATCATTTTTCAAAAAAAAAAAAAAAAAAAAAAATGCTCTACACTCGATGTATTTACATAAAAAACTAATGTTTATGATGACCGTCTATGGTATTGATACTTTTTAGGACTGTCTTGGGTAAAAGCATACTGAGCTGCATGCCGTCTGCTCAACATTGAACTGCTGACACCGTTCGATATTTTCGGCACCCACAAACAACAAAATCTGTTTATTTACTTTTTGAAGGAAATAATTCGTAACAAAACCTTTCATGTCATTTTTCTTGCAATATTAAGTAATTTTTCTAAATTAAACCGAAGAAACGAATGTTTTCTTGAATCGATCATCGTTGCTGCTGTTTTCCGAGCTTCCCGCTCAGCGACGCTTGCAACGCCACTCGAGGCTCGTGACTGTTGCAGACTGTAGTCCAAACACTTGATGGTTCGGTACCAACGGTCGTTTTTATATTGATTTCAGAACGTCGTTAACTTTTGCCTCGGGAACTGGTGAGATTATCGTAGTCACACCTATACTGTCAAACATTTTATGCGTGCAGGATAAAAGTCTAGAGTGTCTTAAATTGAGTGATAACTAAACTTCTTTGACATTTTTCCAGTTCGTTTAAGAAATGACAAACGTCAATGAAGCTGCGGGCCATTCGCTCCTTGCTAGTGAAGATTGTTATTTCATGCAGATAATTGATAACATTGAATTAGAAAAATGTGGAGGAGATACGTATTTAGATTCACAAATATTCAGTATTGAATCTAATGAAAAATTTTATTTACGATTGATGGGCCCAAGTGGAACTAAGGGATTTAATAGAAAATTATATTTATGCAGCCAAAATATTGTGAATGAGTTCGTTTGTCGATGCACTATATCAATTGACGTGGACGGAGAAGATGTTATGCCGAATAATATTTGTAATACGTTTAAAGTAAATAAAGGAACAGACACAAGTACTTTTTTACTTGGAATTCCTTACTACTTTGGATCCATTAAAACTACTACAATTCGATGTGAACTAGAATTATCAAGGGCGATCGAAACATCATGTCGAGACTCTGACTTGACCACCAATAGCAGTGAAAATTTGCCACTGGTACTAAAGTTCGACTGGATATTTCTTAGTGAGTGCAGTGACGTCGTGCTTAGTACTGATTGTGGGAAAAAAATACCAGCGCATAGGACTGTGCTCGCTGCAGCAAGTCCAGTGTTCAAAACCATGCTGAGTAATGATCCGTTAAAAAACAAAAACCAATCGATAAATCTGACTGAAGTTAGTTATGATGTAGCATTTGAGATTTGGCGATACATTTACACCGGTAATATTAAAAATAACGACTTTTCCTTGGCTTCTGATGTTTTGGCGGCTGCTGACAAATATCAACTTGAAGAATTGATAAATAAGTGCGGAGAAGTATTGAGGTCTAAACTATCCTCTGAAAATGTTATTCAGACTCTTGCGATAGCTGATAAATACAGTTTGAACCTTTTGAAAAAAGAAGCAGTTGAATTTGTTAAAGGAAGTGAAAAAGGATCACTGGATTTTGACGAAATAAGTAATATGCTTCTCAGTTTATATGTTTCTCATGAGTAATTTCGAATTGTGGTTTGAACAGTTTAGTAATTTTCAGTATTTTTATTTTACTATTTCTGTTTATTTACTTCAACAAGAAAGCACTAAATTTCTATGCAATTTTAATAAAAATAAACATTCAATAAGATCTAAATGTTTTTACCTATCTCTCTTGTTATTTTCAATCCTGAAGTATTTTTATTTATTTTTCGGTATATTTGTCGACCAAGACGGGGCCAATTCTATGCACGACATACGATACAACACGTGCTTATCCAAAGGGCCTGCAGAAAGCACCGTACTATAAATTTTAAAATTATGATCGTTACAGACGACGATCGAACCTATGCTTTGATGTAAATAAACCCGCAATAAAACGAATCATTTCTTTGAATCGACCAAGCCACTCGAGTTCTCCGATAAGTGATACTTCTGATATCATTCCAAGGCCCGCGTCGCGATAAACAACAGTCGTCTAGTAGCGCCAACACTCATCTGTTTTAGAACGCAACAGTCTTGACTTATTATGTACAACGTTTAGCCGCACAGTCAGTCAGTGAATTGTTACGTACAGTATATAGTGTTTATGTGTGCGTGTGTGCATATAGGTATGGCCTAAAAGTTTCTGCTAGTGTGATAAAAATCCTGTACAGCTGGTAAAGTAACTGAATGTTTTCAAGACAAAGTGTAACATGACAACTGAACCACTACACTACTGTGGCTGCTTGAAACGCAATGAAAATGACATTTTTACTTGGGTAATATCAAGAGATTTCTTGTTGTCGTTGACAAAAGGAATAGTAGTATCGCCCATGATTAATATGAGTAATGACGATGACAAAAAATTTCGATTGGAACTCCACAAATGTCAATCTCTAGATCGTTCTTTACAACCTAATATAATAAGAGAAAGTATCCGATTATTTCTATGCTACCTTAAAGAAAACTCATCATTAATGTGTAAATACAGCATATCAGTAATCATGGATGGTGAAATTATTGATGCTCGCACAGATTATTGTACATTTTCTACGAATTGTAGTGAAGCATTGATTTTCAATATGCCCTCAATGAAGATCGATCAAGAGATTATATACAGTTACGATGTGCATATTCGCTGCAAATTAACATTTGCTACGGAAAATATAGAGCCGTTTCTCAAGTATGATTTGGCACAAACGGTACCCAAATACAATTTCGATTGCATATTTCTTAATAAAGATTTGAGCGATGTGACGCTACGAACTGCATCTGAAAAGGAAATTCCTGCGCATAAAATCATGCTTGCTACTGCCAGTCCAGTATTCAAAGCCATGTTCAACCATGATATGCTAGAAAAACAAAGTCAAATAATTGACATGATCGATGTTAGTTATGAAGCTGCAGTCGAAATGCTGCGATACATCTACACAGGTGATGTTGGAAATGATGAAAATTCCTTGACAACTGAGCTATTGGCAGTTTCTGACAAGTATCAACTTGATGACTTGAAATATAGGTGCGAAAAAATATTGAGCTTTCAGTTATCTTCTTACGTAAATGCCGTTGAGATGCTAAAAATTAGTGATACATACAGGGGGAAATATTTGAAAAAAAAATCAGTCGATTTTATTAGGAGTATTTTAAATGGACCATTATTGAACTATGAAGAAATAAGTAATAAGATTCTTAGTATAGCCCAAATTGTTTCAAAATAATGTAAAAACTTGCGAAATTGTCTCTTTTAATTTTTAATTTTACTCATATTTTTGTTCATAATTGAATTCTAAAAGTGTCTGCTTGTTAGGTAATTTTGATCAAAATAAAAATCTCGATCGATATCGTTTAAATTTACTTCACTCTACCCGACATACCGCAATCGTGCACATGAACTAAAATTAATGTATAAAACTTGCTGTTTGAATGACACATCGCGATCAATCACGGCGACCTGCTGCGCAACAGAGAAAGAAAATCAAATGCTGAATGGAATTTTCGTGCTGTAATCAGAGGGAAGGATGTTGTGTCGATTTGACTATGCCATGTTTTTCTCCTTGAAATACTTATACTGCCAATTGTCTGACGACCCTGTGCCTTGTGTATACCGTAACATAACACCGACAACACGACCTTCTCTATAAAGCGGTCAGCGTGGCCGCGCTGACTCTTGCAAGAAATTTGAAGCCTTTCGCCTGTCTCGTGACTTAAAAATCAAACCTTCTCATTCGTGTATATGTTCACATTATTATATGTACCATAATACATAAAATATATACTTAGGCCTTGCGTGCCATATTTATTAAATATTTATTAAAAATGCTGATGCCTACAGAAAGATTCGCATTCATTTTTAAGGCTACGATTGACCGAGATGTATTTATTCGATCTATAAAACCAAGGAAAAAACGAATGATTTCTGGAATCGACGAAGTAGTTCTCGAGTTGTCCATTGAACGTGCTCACGGAGTCTGACTCGAGACTCATCGCCGGCCACACCGCTCACGTTCTCGTCATGGCGCAGGCGATTGGTTGGAAGTTTGAAACGAAAGCAACAAAGGGCACTGTTGATCTTTTCTAGAACGCAAATCTAGCAGTACCCCTACAAGTCTTGCTTCGTACAGCGGTCAGTCGTATAGTCAGCGATCGTCGTACACAGGCGGTAGACACGTTACATATCTCTATTGTCCAACATTTCGTGAGTGCGGTCCGAATAGATTTTCGAGTTATTTTCACAGTGTGAAATGTCGAGCGTCCAGAAAATTATAGGCTGTACGGACATTGATACAGCCGAAGATTGCGATTTTAAGTGGGTAATTAATAATTTCGTGATGGTTCGTGAAAAGGTACGCTCTTTCATCAGGTCGCCGATATTCAGTGTCGGTTCCAATCAATTGAAGTTTCAATTGTCACTTCTGTCGAAATATAATAGTTCTGGAGAAAGTATAGATTATTCAAAGTTATATATACGTTGCTACGAAAAGATCGAAAATTTACTGTATAAATACAAGATATCAGTTATCAAGGATGGCCAAATTGTTTACACCCAAATGGATTGCCGAAGATGTCATCAACTACCTTCTTTTATAGAGATTTTTAACATTTCCACAGACGAAATGAATGAATTCATTTCATCGGACACCGTAATTTTTCACTGTGAATTGAAAGTTTCTACGGGAAGTGTAACAAGTTTATTGAATAATGAACCGAATAAAATTGATCAAGTACTGTCACCAAAACTAAACTTCAACTGGGTATTTCTCGATAAAGGTTTGAGTGATGTTAAACTAAAAACAGCATGTGGAAAAGAAATTCCATCACATAGGGTCGTGCTCGCAACTGCCAGTCCAGTATTCAAAGCCATGTTCAACCATGACATGTTGGAAAATAAAAGTCAATTAGTTGATATGATTGATATTAGCCATGAAGCTACTGTCGAGATGCTACGATACATATACACAGGTAGTGTTGAAACTAGCGAGTTTCCGTTAACTATTGACCTTTTGGCGGCCGCTGATAAGTACCAACTTGAAGAATTGAAAAATAAGTGCGGAGAAATATTAAGCGCCAAATTATCGACTGGAAATGGCATTGAGACTCTTTCGGTAGCTGTTAAATATAACATGGATTGTTTGAAACAAAAAGCAGCTGATTTTATTAAATTACATATTAACAAGTTCTAGGACAAATGTCAAATTGAAGAATTTTCATTTGAAAGTTCATTTGAATTTCATATAATATACTTTCAAGTTTTAATCGTACTCTAGTTGTTTTTTATGCACTTTGCATTTTCAAAACATGATGTTGTTACTTCAGTCTTCAGACACTGACGACGTGGCTGGCATGATTCTCAATATGGAACAACTTTTTTCGAATTAACCTTATAGATGCTTTGCAAAAAATGTTTAATTCTTATCGTATTTAAATTATTTTATATTTACTCATGTGAAAACTTTATATTATTATCCAACTCGTAATAAAAATAAAAAATTATTTGAGAAAATAAATTTCAACATTTAATGTCAAAATTGTAATTATTATACATTACCACTATTGTAATATAATAATTAAACATAATAATTACATAAACATTACAGCACTCGACCCACTTCCAGGCTGACTCCAACATGGAATTATAGTTTTTCTCTGTCTCTCTGCTGTTGACTTTAAATTTACGTGGACCTCAAGCGGTTGACAATACATGTGCTAATTATTTCAAAACCGTCGATGCCCGAGAAGATAAATAATTTCATATTAATTTTTTTAATTATACTGATGATATAGCTGATATGTTTTTCTAAATATAGCCCACAAAATGAATGATCCCGTCAAATCATCACGGTAGTTCTCGAGATATCCACTAAGCGACGCTGATGACGGTACTTGAGGTTCCCGAATCCCGAATCGCGCAGATTAGAAAATCCGTTTGTCGTTCGCAGCGCAGTGAGGCAGTCGTTCAGAGGAAAGGGAACGAGGTCTTCTTTTGATCAGTTTTAAAAACGTTCTACTCGCAAGCAATACGAGTCTTGACTTGTTCAGTTGTGCTACGATCAGTCGTGATCAGTCAGCGGATCGTCGCTACGACGTATATTATATCAACTATTAATAATTTTTCGTGCGAGTATAATAAAATTTCCAAACGATTCAAGGCGTAATTAAATCTTTCTAAGGTTTTTCTCAAAGTGTAACATGTCAGTTATCGGCTCCTTGCAAACAAGTGAAGAAGGCAACATTTTTACGTGGGTATTTTCGAGTGAATTACCATTAATGCTGCACAATAATGTTGTACGATCAACCGAGTTTGGTAATGTAGGACAAAAATTTGAATTGGAATTCCACAGAGGCAAATTTTGGGACAGTGCTGATGTGTCTTGCAAAAGAGTTTGGCGTTTAATTCTTCACTGTTCAAATAAAAATTCGCCATTATTAATGTGTAAATATAACATATCAATAATCAAGCGTGGCGAAGTTATTGATGCTCGAACAGATTGTTGTACTTTTTCTACGAATCGTAGCGAAACACTGGTTCTAAGCAAGACCCAAACGGAGATCGAAGGATTGATTTCATCCAAGGATGATATACATATTCGCTGTGAATTATTCTACGAATCCGCCATAACAAACGAGGTACCAAAACTGAACTTTGATTGGATGTATCTTGATGAAAGTTTGAGTGATGTTAAGCTAAGAACGGCATGTGGAAAGGAAATTCCAGCACATAGGGTCGTGCTCGCTGCTGCCAGTTCAGTATTCAAAGCCATGTTTACTCATGATATGATGGAAAATCAAAACAAATTGGTGGAAATGACGGACGTTAGTCATGAAGCAGCAGTTGAAATGTTACGTTACATGTACACAGGTAGTGTTGGAAGCAACGAAGTTTCCCTGACAAATGACCTTTTGGCAGTCGCTGACAAGTATCAGCTTGAAGATTTAAAAAATAAGTGTGCCATAATATTAAGCTCCAAAATATGCCATGAAAATGTTGTGGAAATTTTGAAAGTGGCTAGCAAGTATGGCACGAAATATTTGGAGAAAAAAGCAGTTGATTTTATAAAGTCATATATAAATGCATCTCCAGATTCAGATATAACAAATTTATTTCTTTGTTAAAAGAAAATCTTTTTCAAAATAATCTGAAACATGCTTTGTACATTTTTTTCAAGCTCGAATTACCCCTACGTCAATTATTAATTGTTACCTACTTTAATTTAAAAAAATGCTGTTATGTACTTCTGATAAAAATAAAATACCTTAGTTGTAATTTATAATAACCTTTCGTTTCAATATTCAATAGTACTCGCCACATGTTAAATTATCGTATAGGTATCGAGCTGACTCGTCATCGATGTTATGACGTCGAACTGTTAGGCTGATTTGTGCGTCGAGAAAAACAGATGAACGAATAAGCAGTCACGACGATGATGGAAAGAGTAAGATAGAAAATGAGCTACGAAGCGGAATTTTCGCGCAGTGATTTACCGAGTATGCTGTGTTGATAAAGCTACAATTCGACACTCGATCTCGCGTATTATGAGTAAGTACGTAAACACGAGGATGTACTTTTAAAATTCAGAAAACTTCCTCGAAACGCTGCAGATCGTCCAATGAATCGCACCTACTATAGGGACTCGTATTTACAATACATACACATGCTCTACTTCGACTCCATTTTCCCATGTATTTCGAACATCTTCTATAATGTAAACACAACTCCTTAGCAAAACAGCGCGACATAAAGCATACATTGACCGCATACCATTCTCTCGGAATGCTGCGTGGAAAAAATTCGAGTCTTTTTTCATTGTTTTTCTCGTCGAAGCATGGATTATCTTCTTTTAAAAGCACATCTTTGAAATACATTAAATACTCATTGTACGATTCCCGCGTGACTGACAGTACATTATTTGCTGATCAAAATTATCGATGCCCGAAAATGCAAAGAGCGTCGCAATAATTTTTAAATTATACATTATCGACACATCTCAATAAACACGGCGAAACAAATGATTTATTTAAATCGACGGGATAGTATCAAAGATCACCGCTGAGCGATTCTCCTGGCGCCACTCGAGGCTCGCGAGTCGGAAGTCGGAACTCGGGACTGCAGTGACAGTCTAGTCTTGTATAACGCATATGTAAAGCTAGCCAGTACTGACTCGTCCAACTAACAACCGCAGTAGACCGACGCAGCAATTTAAGTGTGCGTGATAAAAGATTCCAACGAATTGAGAAACATTTAATCATTTTCAAGATCTTCCCAGAGTGTAAAAAAATGTCAAGTGCCAATAAATTTACAGGCTATACATACTTCGATAGAGAGTATTGCGATTTTACGTGGGTAATAAGTGATTATTCAACGCTCTGCGAAGATGGAATGCAATTAATATCGCCAGAATTCCATGTCGGCAAAGATGGTCAAAACCAGTTCACGTTAGAATTAAACGAAATTCAAAAGATGGTTCAAAATAAACATGTCAACTTTACAAGGTTAGATCTATATTGCGAAAAAAGCATTGATCTTTTACCCCTCAAATACAAGCTAACAGTTATTAAGGATGATATGATTGTTCATAGTCTAGAAAATTCTACTTCTTTAAATACGACTTTTTCATGTACAATATTCGAAGTTCCCTTTGAAGATATGAATGAATTCATTTCGTCCAACGGTAGCGTCATTTTTCGTTGTGAATTGTCAGTTTTCGTGGGAGAACAAAAGAATCTGCTGAACTATGAATCCGTCGATGCAAACGAAGTACCGAAACTGAAGTTCGGTGGGGTGCTTCTTGACAAAAAATTCAGTGATGTCATGCTACGAGCTGCATGTGGAAAGGAAATCCCAGCGCACAGACTGATGCTCGCTGCTGCCAGTCCAGTATTCAATGCCATGTTCAGCCACGATATGTTGGAAAAAGAAAGCCAAACAGTTAATATGGTCGATATCAATTTTGAAGCTGTAGTCGAGATGCTACGATATATTTATACTGGTAATATCGAAAATGATGAAATTGCCATCATTACTGATCTATTAGTAGCTGCTGACAAATATCAGCTTGGAGAATTGAAAAATAGATGCGAAAAAACTTTAAGTTCAAAGCTGTCCTCTGCAAATGCTGTAGATATTTTGAAGGTTGCTGATAAGCATGGTGCGAAATATTTGGAAAAAAAAGCAGTGGATTTTGTAAAACTGCATGTTTGCGCATCTTCAGATTCTGATGTAAAAAATATAATTTTCGGTAGGGAAACATCTTTTACGAAATGACCTAAAAGATTTTTTACATACATTTTCATTTTATTTGTCAATAATAATATATTTTCGTTTTATTTGTTATTAATAATATAATTATGTGCCACGTCATCCACGTTAGTTTGAAAATATGTTACTATCGTATTTCTGATCAAAATAAAAAGCCATTGTTGAAAATGTTGTCTTCCAAGCGTAACGTTATTTCATGACAGTTACACAATTACATTTTTGACTTGATGCAGTCGGGAACGCTTCAATCCTTAGTAAAATATGCGAAAAAAAAAACAATTACAATTAAGGTAAGTAACGACTGACGCGAGCTCACAAAATTCTAACGTAAACAACTTGTGTACCGGCTAGCCGGCATAACCTTTTTTTCCGAATAAAATGAACTAAAACTCGGCATTGAAGCATATCATTGACGCGCGACACTTGTCTGCGCGAAATCGCGTAGAAAGAGCGAGAAAAGGCCGCGCGCGCGCCAAGAAAGGAGGAAAAGGAGCTCTCAGCTGCGACGACGGTGGCGGTGGGTGGCTGCTGATGTTGCTCAAAACATCGGCTATATACCTGCTATGCGATATATAGCATATATCTACCTATATATAGTCGCGGCGGAGCGCAGCGTGTCGAGAGAAAGGGATCTCCTGCCGCTGCCGCTGCTCCGACTCCGAGAGCTTCGAGCAACCTGCCGGTGAAACTTGCCAGTCAGTTACTGACCGAAGCGCACAGCAGCGAGTTTGTGCACGCGAGTGTGCCAAAAGTATATAGTAGTGCCTTTCTCTCTCGAGCGCGCGCGCGAGATTCTTATTTTTGCGCTTTATACACACGAGCGCAAGAGATCGAAAGAGTCGAGAACGCGTTCATCGTAGAGTAGCCGGCGATTGGCGATCGGTTCGAAGAGCGAGACACATACTCGAGTGACAAATTGTGCGTCGAAGCGTTTCACACGCGCAAGGTGCCAATCTTTTATGCAAAAGGTGCTTATTAATTTTCTCAGTGTTTTATCGAGTGTGTGATAATTGGTTAGAGTGATTCGATCAAGAGTGTGGCTGTGTGTTTTCGTTTGAATTGAAGCTCGTCTCGAGCTTTTATTCTCGACGCGTATGTACATACGACGTGGATTCTTTTTTGGCGGTTTTGACACAAGCAAAAAAAAATTTTTTTTTTCCGTCGACACATTTTCGTAAAATTTCAACGAAAACAAATAATAAAGGTCTCTTATCCTACCGGAGAATAGAAGCAAAAAAGCGAACCGAGAATCCAAAGAAAAACTTTCTTCTCCTCGTTCGAAACGTTCCGAAAAAACGTCCGATCCACATTGTCATTCCATTGAAAAATCATCGTACAACAATTGTCGTGTGCTCGTCGTGGTTGAATTTTTGCAGCCTTTTAGCTCGCGTACTTATTTTCCAACGGAGCGTAAATTTGTTTTTTTTTTATCGAAAGAGATGGAGAGATCGCGAAATTCCGTCCTAATTCCCGAAGCGATATACATGTAATATCAAAGTAGTCGCATTAAGAGCGTTAATCATTGATATTTACGTACTCCGCGCACCGCAAGCAGCAGCAGCAGCAGCCGTTCTGCACTTGCATCGGGCCCCTTGGAGGGAGTAAAAATTCTCTCTTCCCTGCCACGGGCAGAGAGACGTTAATTGTCGTTTTCTCGTATATAAAATACAAAGTATTTACGTCGTAAATCTCTCGGCAATGCAAACTTTTGGCGCTTATGCTTTATACGCAACCACCGCGCGCGAAGGCTCGCTCGCTCGCTCGCACATAAATATATGTAACTATATCTCATAGTTGCTCGTAAAATGTGTACGTGTGTGTGTGTGTACATATATATAAAAGAAAAATATAACTGTAAAGTGCGTTTGTGCTATAGGAAAAAAATAAACGTATACCCATACACACACATACGGACTCGGATAGAAATGCAAGCGTATACGTACGTTCTTTTCTAGGTGGTTTGGTTACATTTTAAAGTATCCTACATTTTGCCCGCCGCGCGCGAGCATGAAGCCATGAGAGTGTGCCTATGGAATATGACTGTCCTACTTCGGGGCCTCGGCGCGGCGACTTAGGCACACACACACACACAGACACACTGCACCATGTGTTTTACGATTCGTATACACATACGTTGCATAGTTAAACGCATTCAATGTTGTACGGGCCCGAGCCATCGAGTTTCATTATTAAACGCGCACACGTGCCAAATAGATTTTCAGAGCCTGTGTGTGCTGCTATGTGCAAGTCGTTCAATTAGAGCCGCGAGAGAGCCTGTGTACCGACTGCCTGTCGATTTTGAGGATAATGAGAGGCATCGCGTACAAACTGTATACATTTCGACAAAAGACCCCAGACACGAGTTGATCGACGACGTTTTAATATGCATAATACGTGCTCTCGTTGTGTCACGACATCTGTTTTTCGCCATGAATTTTAGCGTTTCGTTAAAGGAGTCACGTTTTTTGGCGCGCGCGCGACTCCGAAGGACGGCTCGATACAATTCGTCGAGATTTTAAAAATCCATAGTTTTTTTTTCTTTCTTTCCTTTTAATACCTCCATCGACGATAGATCATTTAACACCTACGCGACAGCTGGAATTTATACGGCTCGTACAAAAGAGGAGAGAAAAAAATGTATACATACGCGCGCGAGGAATGCATTCAACGACGATGAGCTGCTCGGGAAATTTTACGCAATCTATAGATATACGAAGCTCGCGTAATTTTATAGCTCTTACATCGCGCGCGCACGTCTATATAGCCATTCGGCGAAAGAACAATCATCTCGAAATTATCGTATTACAATGTTAATTTAAGTCGATTGCCATTCGCAACCGCGAGAGAGCCGAGATCATTATTGGCGCGCGTTTCACAATTTTGAAAAAAAAAAGAAAAGAAAAGAAAAGACTAATACGTTGCGTGCGCGTGTACGTGTGTGTACTTATAGATGCAACCGTTTAACGACTCCGTTCGAATAACTTCCTCGAAGCCGCAGGTCTATTTATCTCGAGGTACATAATATTATCCACAAATCGATGCGTTCGCGCGGCTCACCACCATCACCACCGACAAGCGCAAAGGACCTGTCAATTTCTTGAAACATATAAATCTCATACATAATCGCTACATATATGGAACGTTAAACGCGCATCCATTTACCGAGGCGCGATGCAATTCTACTACCGATCTCTCTCGCGGAGTACATAGCGTCGTCGTCGCGTGCTTATAAACGCGTGCGCCGCCTGCAGTAATAATGATACCGCTATATTATACATGAGTACCCTCGCTAATGAATATATAGCGTAATAATATATCGTACCTATATACGTACATAGAGGCGCGACATAACATCATCATCATCATCATCATCATCATCATCATCACGACGACAATATGTCAACAGATTGTTTTTTATTGTTCGATCTAGCGATAATAATTGTACAGGTATAACTATATGATGCAGCTTGACCAAACGATGAATCGATGATTGTTCCAGGTGAGCGACTCGACGGCGGCAGATTACACTTCCGCGAGTCCATCTTCCACGGCTGCAGCAATACAACGTGTGCTATCCGCGCACATAAACGTATTATCTCAGCTATAGCCAACGTCTTATATATATAAAAGCACATCGATCGATTAGTTTCACCTCTGGCGGGGCTGGCTGGGGCAACGGTACATCAGCCGTGCAGCAGCAGCACAAGCGGCTAGAGTGGAAAAGGAAAAAAGGAATCGCAGGGAAGAGATATAACAGCAGCAGCGGCCAGAACAACAGTGCTCGGGTGTTTATATATACATATCTCAAAAGTATTAAAATAAAAGCACGACCCGCAAAGCTTTCGGTCGATCGAAGCAGTGTGACCCTGTGACCGTGTGGAAAAATCGTCGTCTCTCTATCGTATAAAAGTGCGCTCGGTGTGCGGGCGATGCGAAAGTTCGGTGTATAGAGCGGGCAAGTTCGCAGAGTGTGCAGTGCGCGGCGTGCAAGGCCAACATCTGTATCGCAGTATAGGAGACGATGGCACTGGAATCGTCGACGATGGCCGCCGACTCGACGGTCCGCAGCCAGGACTCGAGCAACAGCAGCGACTCCAAGGAGACGAAGATGTCGAAAGTTTCCACGACGAGCAGCAGCAGCAGCGAAGCCTCCAAGGTCGCCGAGAGCTGCGTCGAGTCCAAGCACTCGAAAGACGCCCTCATCGTCGAGAACGATCAGCAGCAGCAGCAGCAACCAACTAGAAGCAGCAGCCAAAAGGCTCATCGATCATCCGCGGAAGCTCGACAGCTGCAGCCGCAACTGCAGCAGCAGCTACAGCAACCGCCGCCGCCGTCGTCGACGACAGGACAGCAGCAGCAGCCACAAATCGACACGAAACAACAGCAGCAACAGCAGCAACAGAGCAGCAGTAAAAATAGCGGCGCGCCAAAAAATGACTCGAACTTGCTCATGCTCACCTCGTGCGGACAACTCTTGCTCGGTAAGTTTTGGTCGTCTGTGCATACAAGTCATTTTTGTCGCTTTTGTCGTATTATTATATGGCTGCAGTGCAGCATCAAACTCCAATCAACGACGACAACAGCTCCCACAAACGCGAAATGCCCGAGAAATACGAGTTTTTTGCCCGTCGTCAAGAATGCGGATTTCTGCCAGTTCTGCGGTTTTTCATCCTCCGATGTACATAAACCTCGTCGCGAGCTTTGAATATGTATGCGCGCGATCCTTCGGTTTGGCAAATATATATAAATGCATCCGTGAGATATGCGAATAACCGATTCTTCTTTTTTTTATTATTATAAAATATACATCAAAACCCGAAGACGATAGCTTATTAGAACGTGTAATTGGGCGTCATAGCATCACCGAAATTCCTCATTTTATATAATACGAGTTCTGCGGTCGGCATCGCATCGATCACCCCGTTAAATGGCCACGGGTGCAGTGCCTTTGCTTTTGTTCCAACGTTGGACTCGTACTTGCTCGTTTCTTTGCTTCTGCACTGCTGCAACGCGTGTATCGACGAGCATACTTTTATACGTCACAAGCCTGCGGACGCGTGCGAGATGTCTGAAATTGCAACTGCAAAGGAAGCTATGTATATTATATATCTACTCGAGGCGCGAGCGAGATTTTTTTTTTTTTTTTGCAACTACTTCTCTTGTTAGATTCATCTCGAGCGTGACGAGGTGGTTTCGGGAAACGAGATACCTGCGTCGTCGCCGCCGCCGCCGGAGGGGGTTGATGCTGTTGGCAATATGAAAAAAAAAACACTCGCGTAGCAGTAACCGATACTTGGATTTCTTTTGTTTCAGAAATTTTTTTTAACGTAAAAACTTGCGGATTTTACGACGTCTAGATTAAAAATTTCATAGAGTAGCAATCGTCATCCGCTGAAAATATTAGAAAACTTTCGTTCGAGATTCATTCGGTAACGCTTTAAAATTAGCCACGCAAATCACCTATTCGAAAATAACAAAAGATATCTCGCTTGCCTTTTTAACATACCTTATAGACATAAATGAGAAAATGCTGTTTTCAATAAATATTCATCAAAGCTAAAAGTGCAGTCGCCATTCGCCTTTTTTCATTCTTTCTCATTCATTTAATTGGCTCGATTTTATCGTTTGCTTGAAAAAAAGTAAACAGACGGGCAACCCACGCTATCGCATTGAATGTCGTCCAAATAAGCATCTCCGACGCACTCAACAACAGCTAAATATTTATAAGTCTATGTTTTTTGTCGCACAGGCGTCATACTGGTGGTGTTCGGCGTGCTCGTGCTGGTGCACGGCGCCTCGCTCGGCCAAACGGGCGCCGGCCTGTGGGCCGGTTTCGGGGCCCTGTGCGCGGGCGGCCTCGGCGTCGTCGCCGCCCTGTCGACCAGCTCGCTGACGGGCAAGTCGAGCTCGGGCTTCGCCTCGGCGCATCTGGCCTCGAGCCTCGTGGCGCTGGCCCTGTCCAACTTGGCCGCCATCACCGCACTGACGGCCGTCGTACGAGACTCCCAGAGAAACGTGCCCGACGTAGCTCTACTGCAGCTTCCGGTAAGTTTAGATATTATATTATATTTACCATTTGTTTTTGCGTCTGTATACGAGAGGAAGTTATAACTGGATTGCCATTGGAAATCGCTCGTAGCGATCTGTCGAGACGTTTAGCCTACATCGATCGTACACTATATACACGTAGAATTCGATGGATCGATACGATCTCGCAAGTCATTCGTAATTGAAAAATCCTCTTTCTCTCTCGCTGCGTACGCGCGCATTACAATAACTCACACAATGGCAACGAAAACGAAAGCGAATCGGCGCGCGTTGCAATTCCGCGACGTCGCAGCCTGGAATCCTCGTGCCACCGCGGCAACGATGGTGGCGGCAGCGGCTGCAGCCGATTGCTCTGCTCTCCGCGCGCTGCGGTCGATCTTTTTTACAATACGTATTCAATTAGCGTGTCACCGTTCGCGAAATGTTATTCAAAAAATATTATATGCAACGAGGCGGCTGACTTCTGCGTCCGGCAGCAGCGGCGGCGGCGCCACCAAGTATATAACTTTCACTTCGACGAATCGATGTCGTCGTCGTGGCCGTTGACTGCCGAGATTCGCGCTAAAATATTTATACACTCGCGGGCGCCGCGTATTGTCATTGTTGCGGAACAATGACTATTGACTGCTGCTGCGAGTCTCGTAATAAAAGGTACATCTGAAGTGTATTTTATTATTATAAAATACGTATAGACGCAGCAGCTCGAGAGAGAAAGATCGAGAAAAACGAATGAAAATCGGTACCGCGTGAGACTGCACTGCAGCGGCTCCACCGGTTTGCATTAGCCGCGTACCTATCGTATCTGGGGGTCTGGCTCTCTCTCTCTCTCTATCTCTATCTCTCGTTATCGCCAATATCAAAGCAGAGAGCCATGCACTTTATAACGTAGCCTAGATGACGTGTATATAGGAGCCGCCGCCGCCTTGAGAGCTAAAAATCGGCAGCCTGTGCGCGCACACGCCTAGTTCTGCACCGTTGAATTAATCTCACGCGCCCGACTTCTCGTAGATGATTATCTGAATTTTCCATTCTGATGTATGTAGTGCTGCTGCAGCTGCTGCTGTACGCGTGTCACGTATATACAAAATGTATTATATGTTGTGTATTATAAAGCGCGGAACTCGTATCCTAGGGTCCTGGATTATAACGAAAAGTCAAATGTACTACTGGTTGGGTCCAGTACAAAAAAAGTCGCCGCAACGAAATACATAACTATCGCCACGACCCCCCTCTCCGACATCTCTGGTATAATACATAAATATCAATTAAGCCGGTCCATTAATGCGCGTGATTATACACGACGCCAGACATCGTATGTATATATAGTATGCATATTATAAATATATACATTATGTACACTTTAACCATCGCTCGACGACGACGTTATCGCTTGTATTATACATTTATTTATGGGCTGATCCGAGAGACATCGACGATTACGTCTCTCGTTTATAGAGTTGGTGTGGGATTTTTTTTTATCATAACAAGCGCATCGATGCCTCGCGCGCCAAAGTGTAGTATAATAATCTCTGTCTCTCTCTTTCTCTCTGTCGGCTGGGACCGTTATTTACCTTGGTTTCTTGCGCGCAACTTTTCATAATACACGCGGCGCAGCAGCGTATACGTACACACCGCGCCTCGCGCTCTATTTAAGACTTTTTTCACCTGCACTTCTTGTTCTTCTTTTTCTTCGTCTTCTTCTTCTTTTTCTTCTTCTTCCTTGTCTTTTCCATATAGCTGCGCGTTTCCTTTTCTCTTTTGTTGTGCGGCCGCGATCCTCTTCCCGCGCGCCCGCGTCAAAGACCAAAGAGCAAAAAAGATCGTAAGGCTTGCGCGCGTTTGGCAAAAATATTATATACTCGGTGTAGCTACGCGATCGCAGCTCTTGTTTTAAAAGATCATAATCGTTTCCTCGAGCGATTGGCGTTCGGACGTCAAGTGTCGAGCAATTAGTCGCGATGTTTTATACATATAACCATAATAATGATAATAATGATAAAGAGAAAACTGCAATGCGGCACGACGAAATGAGGTCGTCGCCTGGGCGAACGATCGGTCAATATGACCAAGTCCATGGCAGCCGCATAGCCCCCTGCCAACGAATCCCAATGATCATTTGGCGTTCCTCTCGTGACTTTTCTTTCTCTCTCTCTCACTCACTCTTAATTCTGACCTGGACTGCAGTGACAATCTCTTCTCAGTTAACTTTTATCGTTAACGTTACGTATTACAAGCGTATCTCAAGCTCACCGCTCGGGGATATTTGTCCTCTCCTCCTCGAGTCCACGCGCGTCTAAGCGCGTAATCTCGCTGCGTATTCGTGCTGTATGTAATTAGGAGTCAAATATCCGGTCTACGCAACACGTCGATACGTAATCTAACTTCTGCATACAGACGGTACATGATACCATAGCCTACAATTTTCCGTATGCGAGCTATGCGCTGCATCATAATCCTACCTTAAATCATCCGCGAGATAGTTCATCCAACGATGTATCTTTACATCGTGCGAGAGCAACTGATGCGGCAATACGGGGCGAACTTTTTATCTGTTCTATAACCTGGGACTTTACAAGTACAGCGTAGCCAGAAGTCTCATTTCGTACGAATTTTTCCCTAAATATTAAAACCTTTAATTTAAGGCAGATTTTATGTAGGATCAAATAATGAAATTCAGGTAACCGGTATCGAATTGTGTATTTAGGAGACTTTTTCATAAAATTTTCCTTGAAATTTAAGCCTCCACCGCTAGATGGCAATTCGTTTTACCCGTAAATCTGCAAGTGATAAAGTCAAAATAATTTTATAAGTCAAAGCGAGGTTTGCTGACAAAGCGAAATTTACATGTAAAATAAATTCCGTAGTAGCTTTTTACCCATTAAATCAACCAAGATTGCTGAACACTTTATTGTAGTTTAGAAATTTTGTTGTTTTCCTTTAAAGCTCTGATCCATGACGAAAACGAATGGTGCTAAATATAGGTGATCGAGTTGAAACTTAAACAGGTTCATTTGTTAATGCATTCCAATTGTCATCATTTCGTAATCATCGCTTGGAAATGTACAGATAAAAGATCATCTTCAATAAATATATGTAGGTAACGTTCAATACGTATCAAAAAATGTAAAACCTTATCGTGTTATTAATGTCGCGTGCAAGCGCAGGTCACTGTACAAAATAACATTTCTGTTTTCGAATTCCTCGACTCCTGGTGCAAAAATGAAAAAAAAGAGACAAAAAATACACTCATACGCGCGTATACAGTCAAGTGAAAGTTCCTTTTTTTCTTCTTCTTTTTCACGAGATAATTCATCCTACACACGTCGAAACGGGGTAAGGTGGGATTCCGTCGTTCGCTGTAATTATTTGCGCTCGATGTAGCACCGGCTTTAATATCATTTAATTACGAATTTTTGCGCCAAAGTCGACTCGCGCGACCGGTATATATATTTACTCTATGTAACGCGTACTGCAGGTATGTATATATGCTGCGGCTGCTGCCTCGCGCAATTGAGGCGCGCAAAATTCTTTTCCCCCCGTCGCGCGATTCGGGATGAAAATCCAACCAGCCAGGCTATCAGCCATACGATACGTTCGTAGTTGCGCGACGTTGGCGCGAAGCGACGTTTAGGAATTCTCTTGCTCGTGCTGCAGCTCGCGCGCGCGGCATTAGATTACGTAAAAAGAGTCAGGCATGATAAAACGTCCAATTGATATTTCGAAATCAACCGCGAGGGATAGCGAAAGAGAGAGAGAGAGAGAGAGCGTGAGCCCCGTTAAGCCGTCGGCGTTATAATAAGATTCTGCTTTACGGATCCGCGCGTAAAAAAAGGACGCGATATAACGTCGCGAGATTCCTCCGCTGCTCTCGCGCTGGTTTACATAGCTCGAATAATTGTGACGTATATGATAGATAATGTTTACGCATCGCTATGCGTAATTTATAAAACGTGAAAATTGCGAAGAAACAGTTATTATATACTACATGTGTGTACTGTGTGGCTACTTATGCGCGCGTTCGATCGATAGCGTACGATGATCGTATGTACATAAAGATTGATGAGATGTTTTTTTTTTTCGAAAATTGAGAAAAAAAAGTAGGAAGAGAGAAAGAAATCTCTACCTGTCGATCGAATAATCTCTATTATACGCGCCGGTGTCGATACGTATAATGTACGCACGTGTATATGGAGAATAAATTTATGCATCTAGCACGTTTATTAATGAGCGGCAAAAAATCGCCGAGCAGTATTATACACAATGTCCAATGTATGGCTCTGTGTAGATATAGATTGGCCCAGATTGGCGATCTCGAGCGCCAGACTAACTCGCGGACATATAAATCCGGCGTCTGTACGTATATAATGCGCTATATAGTATATAGTAGTCACAGTCGAGGGATTTCGCCCGATAAAATATCTAACAGCGTGCGGCGATCGAATTGCCCCGCTCAACAGACACACAAATGCACGCGCAACCGTATACAAAAGCTGCGTTCCTTGGCCGATCGATCGAGTGTCCGAAAGTGTATCGCGCGCAGTTTCATGTGTGCGCACGATCGAAGTGAAAAATGCCCGGCTGCACAGAGGCGTTTTCTCTCCGAAGAACGATCCGAGCCGCGGCGCATATAAATCGGCATTTTCTCGTACCGATCGACGGCTGCTGCTGCCGCAGCCTTTTCTTTTATATGCTGATATAATTAGCCGCCTGGTGGCTGAAATTGGCTGCTGCTGCTGCTGCTGACGTATGGTACAGTGCATCATGCAGTCAGACGATGACCTCGTTTGCGCGCACCAACGCATGCCCGGATTTCTCTCTCGGCTCGATCGCGACAGAGCCCCGAGAGAGACACGCGCGCGTGTGGGCGTTCGTGAAACAGGTGAGCCGCTGCACATATACAGCCACCGGCGCGCCACTGGACCTGCCACCGGTATACACGCACATACTGCTGCTGCAGACACAGCGTGAACATGCCAGAGCAAAGAAGAAATCGAGCG